TGGTAACTCTTCAAAAGCGGAGTATTTGACTCATTATTAGCGTATTTGACACATGGCCAGCATCTATAAATAACTGCCAAAAGAATGGAGAGCAAAGGTTAAATTTTTCCTTTGTGAAATGAACTGAACTTCAAATAGTCATGCTCCAAATTATTTTAGATAGTCACTGTAAGTGTCGGTCCATTTTAGATAGCAGACATAGCAATTAGCAAAGTGTCTGTGCAGCTAGAATCATTGCCATTTCGTCTGGGTTTTATTCAGGATAATGAATATGAATGCGTTTTGACTAAATGAATGGTTCTGCCAGAGCGGCGCTGCATACAGGCTCATACCATTGTGATGCTTCTGACCCAGACAGAAGACATGTGCTTTCATCTACAGAATACTGACCTTTGAATGGCACCCTCCCCCCACTACAACACAACAGAGGAAGAAATGCTATGTAAACTGAGGGCACAAGCCAAACCCTCACTCGTCAGTGCCGGGCAATGGGGGTGCACACCTTTAATCCCAGCACTCGGGGGGGGGGGGGGAGCAGAGGCAGGCAGAGCTCTGAGTTTGAGGGCAGCCAGGACTACACAGAGAAAGCCTGTCTCAAAAGAGACAGAGAGAAAGAGAGAATCAATCAGTTAATATACGGTTGGGATACAGAAGTAGAAATCTATAAAACTTGAGCCAGACATTTGAAGGATCTCTTGTTTTGTACATATAATTACTTACTTACTAGATCAAGATGAAAAGGAAGAGTTTATAAAAACAGGAAGTCAAATAATTATTTTATATAAATCCAAACTCTTTGCATGTACACTCACATGCACACAAACACTCACACACACTCAGCGCACAAATATACACCTACCATAAAAACCAGCTATGCCACTCCCAGCCACACCCAAATTAGAAACATGAAATCATGGCATTTGCAAGAAAAAACATAAAAACTGGAAATTATGTTTCCTCCATACTGAAGATCCTAGATTTTAATCACTCTGTGTATGAGTGGGTAGAAATAGGTCCTAAGGAAGGAAGGGAACCATGATGGACGGGCAAGGCTTAAGGTGAGCTTCAGAAGGGGAAAGAAAGGAGGTGGTAGAAATGTGACATAAGGTTGGTAGTGCACATCTTTAATCCCAGCATTTGGGACACATACACCAGTGGACTTCTATGAGTTCAAGGCTGGCTTGTCTACATAGTCAGACCATCTCAAAGAAAATAATAATAATAATAATAATAATAATAATAATAATAATAATAATAATAATAA